TTTTCTTTAAAAAAGAAATTAAGGTGATTTCAAATTGGGAAGCTAAGGATAATCAGGATTTTACTGCTTTTTCTACTAGTCCTAACTTTTATTCATAAATTATAAAATTGATTATTGATGCTTTTTCTATAGAAGGCATTTGTGCTTATTCCGGGATCCACAGAGATAAAAAAAATGAATTTTGACATCAGCCTGATTTTGCAGTTTCTCCAAAGCCTGCTTTTTTCAACTCTTTAAAACAAGTCAGGAAGGGATTGTACTGAGGCATTTAGATAAAAATAAGGAGATACTTAACATTGGAATCAAGTAATTCAAGGGTACCTTCTTTTTGAGTACATTTTAAAAAGTATGGGTCATATTTTACTTTGGTTTTCTAAGAATTCAGAGCAGTTTTTTCTGGAAAATTGCCCTAAGACATTGAAACACATTTCTCATATCCAGTGTCTCTTACACTGTATGCCACGAGCATTTTAAATGTTTTAAATGGTACCTATCAGAAGTTAGATATTCTTTAGAGACTGCTTCAATTAAAACTGTTTATCCAATTTTAGGAAACACTTTTTGCATTTCCCCTTTTTGTTAATGATTTACAATAGCTTGGAGGCATTAGTCAAGAATGGCCTCAAGGTTTCTTAACAATACAGTTTCTGGGAATTTAGCAAAGGGTCATTATCTAGGGGAATTAAATAAGTTTACTTAAATCTCACACATCATATATCTAGATAATTGCTTAGTCTTTGACTTCCCATGAAATGTGACTTCTGCCCCTAGATAATGGAGGTTACACTCTTATGATTTTTTAGTGTAGATTGAATTCAGATTTTTCCCTTTAAAAGTATGAAGGGAGTGGGGCATTTAGGCAGAGATCCTAAGGTATCATGGGCCAGGCTGCCTCATTCACACCTGAGCCTTATTGCAGTTTTTATTGCAGCCTCCTGCAGCAGTTGCCCTGAGTTAAGCAGCGATCTGGGCTCCCTTCTGATCTCCAAAGCTCAGCTGCTTGTACATTCTATTCTTCTCTCAACTTTGGGCTGATTGAGTTAATCCCACTCTTCCCCATCTAGGCAGCTCTGCTAGTTCCTTCTGACTCCTGTTGTCTCCCCAAATTGAGTCCCGTATACCTAGGAGCATTGGCTCTTCCTCTTTTCACAGGGTTCCAACTTGACCTGGGCAAACCAGCCCTTTGCTTCTCTGCTCCTGAGAACTGCCACAGATGCTGTGGTGCTGACTCCAGCTGCCTTCTCATGCCTTGTCTTTTGGCTGCTTTCCGGATACCTGCATAAGCAAGCGATCGACACTGCTACCCGACACTGCTACCCATTCCTACCTTACCCTGCCTTTTCCCTCTTGCATTTCTGTTCTTTTCCCTCTCTCCCTCCTTCTGTTCACAATGCAAAAAGGATGGAAAAAGTACTACAGCCAGAAGCCTTTGAATGAGGCATCAATGGATGAATATTTAGGCAGTTTAGGGCTGTTTCGAAAGCTGACTGCCAAGGATGCCTCTTGCCTCTTTCGTGCTATTTCGGAGCAGGTAAAATGAAATCAAATATATATCATCACTATACTGAGTTTTTAGAGTTTGAGATTTGGCATAGTTATTTAGCTGAAAGACCTGTAACCCTTCAGAATGTTTCCCAACTGTTAAATAAACAATGCCCATTTCTCTTTCCTAGTGAAAACATCCAGGTTTCTCAGGTCCTGGGAAGAGGCTGTCTGCTCCTGATTATTTTAGCTCAGTGCATGCCTTTGCTGATTACTTCAAATATATTGCTTTCATCTTTTTTCTGAATGCTAGTTTGGAATGCAGGAGCAGTAAGAAAATGGGTTTAAAGAAAACTTTGAAATATAACTTGATCGTATAAGTAAGCAACCCCTACTTCCTCTAAACTTTATGCCTAACAAAATTTTATAGGCTGTGCACATAAGGAATGGGAAAGGGGGAGGTTGAGGGGCGTGACAGAATAATTTCTGCTCAATCTTTGATGTGAAAAACAAATTTTAGTACTATCAGGACTTAATGTCCCAATTTCCTACATAAGTTCTGAGTAAGTGGGACTTAAATGGCCAGTTCATACTCTTAATTTTGAAGCTTTTATTTCCAATGACTGTTGACATTGAGCTGGGCTTTCTCTTCTTTTTAGTTGTTTTGTAGCCAGGTTCATCATTTGGAGATCAGGAAGGCTTGTGTCTCGTATATGAGAGAAAATCAACAAACTTTTGAAGCTGTAAGTAGAATACGTATTCAGGGGAGTAGTGTCTGTAGCAGGTGGAAAAGGAATTTTGAGTACCTACATGTAAAAACTAATTTTATGCACTCTCCTCTCCTCTCAAAAGCAAGTATTTAATTACCAGCTGCCTGCCTTCTCCCTAGCTAGCAGATCCTGGACCACCTTTCAGTATTAGATTGTTTTATTACTCATTAAAAATTAAGAACAAGGTTTATTTGTATATGTCACACTACTTCCTTCCCTATAACACACACAACCTAAAAAGTTACTTTTTGTCTGCTGTTTCATGTTTTATAATACACATTTGAAAATTTTAATCCCCTCTATTCTCTTGCTGAATCCTGTATTGAGCAAAACCTTCCACCAGTCACTTTGAGAAAGCTTGTGATATTTAACAGTAAGGGAAAAGTTAGTCCTAAACATCTAGTTTTATGGAATAAATTGTGGTAATTGGAGTTCTAACAGTAATAGACACACACACACACACACAACCTCACAGCCCTTGAGTCGGATCTGACTCATAGCGACCCCTCCTGGGTTTCTGAGGCAGTAATACGACAGAAGTAGATTGCCCAATCTTCCTTCTGAGGAGTGGCTGGTTAACTTTAATTAAAACAGCTTCTAGAGGACATCTTGGGGGCTCTTGACTGCTAACCAGAAGGCTGGCAGTTCAAACCCACCAGCCACTCCTTGGAAGGAAGGTTGGGCAATATACTTGCGTAGTGATTCCACCTTGGAAACCCAAGGAGGGGTCGCTATGGGTCAGGTCCTACTCGACGGCACATAACAACAACAGAGAACACCTTTGTGTACGTTCAAGTATTTTGAATTCCTAGTAACAAAACTGGAGGTTCTACCAATCTCTGAATTGACTTGAACCCTTTCATCTGGCTTTGTTTAACACTCCTAGCCCTTCCAGTCCTATTTTTTTTCTAACTGTATATTGTGGGTATCTGCCTTCTCTTCGAGGTTTACTCTGATTTTCAGAACTGGTATCAGTGAATTATAAAACCGTATAGAGGCTTATTGTCTTTAAAACTTACTATCTTGAAGTTCATTATATTGTTTACCACACCTGTGGAAAAGATGGCTCGTGAAATTACTTCAAATACAGGATCATGGTGTTCCAGCCTTGCATATCGAGCAATTTCATTCATGCAAATCACCTGGGGAGCTTGTTGAACTACAAAATCTGATTCAGCGGGTCTTGGGTGCTGCCCCAAGATTCTGCATTTTTCAGACTCCCAAGTGATGCTGTGGGTTGGTGACCTACATTTTGACTAGTAAGGATATGTATAAACTTTTAAACTACATGAATGAATCTCAAAACTCTTATTGATAAAAGCCAGACCAAGAAAAAGTATGCGTACTGTATGATTTCCTTTATATACAACTCCAAAAAATGCGGACTAATCTATAGTGACAGAAAGCAGATCAGTGTTGCAGGGGGTGGAAAGGTAGAGTGTTATGAGGGGTACAAGGAAACTTTAGAGGGTGATGGATATGTTCACTATTTTGGTGGTAGGTTCATGGATACATAAAGCTTATTTGTGTTGTGCATTTTAAATATGTGCACATTACTATATGATACCTCAACAAGCTGTTTAAAATAGATTTTTTTTAATAGTTTAGCGATAGATATGTAGGAATCAGGCCTGAGTTAATGATATTCTCTGGGTTTAATTTAATTTTTATTGAGGTGTATTTTACATGTTGTAAAATTCACGATTTTAAGTTTTTATAGCTTTTAGTTTTGACAGTGGTATAGTCTTGTAACCCAAGGCTTAGAACTGGTTCTTTCTGGTTATACCCCATGCTGAGAACTTTAATTTCCACCCCAGATATACTGAATCAGAATCTACATTTTAACAAGATCATCCCCAGGTGATTCTTATGTATCTGAGATGTAAATTAAGATTTTGAGCAGGGGTCAAACCAGAATGAAATGGTTCATTCACTACCACTATCAAGATACAGAACATTTTTATCACCCCAAAAAAGTTTCATGTCTTTATTTTTTTTCTGAGACTAATCAAAATCTCTTTAAAGTTCTTCAATTTAACTTTGTAAATGCCTGTCTTCTTTCAAATTTGAAATCCTTAAAATTACTGGGTTCGCTTAATTTATGAAACTCGTCAAGTTGTCATTTAAAAAAAACTCAAAGTAGTACCATTTGATGTAATATACTGGTATGCTAATGAGCCAGGACCAATTCCTAAGATAAGTTTATTGTCCAGCTTTTCCTTGTAACTTTTGCATATGTGCAGATCTTCTTGAGGTGCTGTGCAACATAGTAATTTAATACCATACTTCAAGTGGATTAAAAAAAATCCGAGGGTAATTACAGAATGTAATCTAATTTTAGTAATACTGTGTGTGTATTTGGTTAAGTCAAGTTTGTTTTATTTTTGAAGTATGTGGAGGGATCTTATGAAAAATACCTGGAACGATTGGCAGACCCCAAGGTAAGATCAAATATGGGAGCTAAATCGTTGAGAGTACCTGGAATAGGAACCTAAATATTGATTCAGCTCTGTCACTTTAACCAGAGCCAACATACTTTCTTAAGTAGCCAATTGTGTTGAATCAGTAGTTCCTTGCAAAGGTTTATAGGTGGGCAATTGGCCTATTATTTTGTGTTGAATATTAAGAATTGTGTGTTAACAGTGTTATCCATTAGACTTCAGGAAAAAGCCACAAGGCATTACAAACATCTGGGGGAACAAGATAAGGCTCAGCCTTTTTATTGTAATGTGGGGGGATGATGAATGTTAGGAAGAAGTCACTTTTACTTGTTTATTAAACAATTCTTCCAATTTTTATTGGTCCTTCAATTATGTAGGAGAAAGATTCATAAGTGTATACTTTATTTAGAAGGAATTTGTATGTAATAAAATTAACTTCATAGCTCTGGTCTTCTGGCATTTTTACTAAATACCCTTCTACCTTTGTATCTTCAGACTAGTTAAATTTTTTGTTGTGCCTTTTCTATATGTCGTATTAACTGTCCTTATTACTTATTAGCTAGCTAAGAAAGATTTAAGGACTTTTTTTTAAAGTGTAAGTTTATATTAATGAGTTGTCACAATATTTCAAGCTGCAAAGCAAGTTACAGTGTATTCTACATTCTTCTCCTAAAACAGTTGATAAGCAGCTAAAAAACAACTGTTAAACTTGCAGATGCTTGCTATCTCCTACCTGTAGATTTTTTTTTAAAAAAGAACTTTATGTACTATTTATGTTTAGGAAAGTGCTGGCCATCTGGAAATAAGAGCCCTTTCTCTAATTTATAAGTAAGTTATATCCTCTTTTCTTTAAAAGAGTGTGAATGTGTATATTTCTGTTAAAGTCACTTTAGGATTGGGGAAATTAGAGATTTAATTTAATGATATGTTAGAATGAAAAGTTCTAAGCAGAGTCAGTTTAGTATAGTTATTGAGTGGAGAACCTTGTTACAGAGGCCTTCCTTACCTTTGCATCCATTTGGATGAAAAAATAAAGTCTGCTGATGTTAATTTCTGTAGGATATCTTTTAGGATTCTTGTCTCTCTTAATTTTGTTTCTGTTGTATGATTCTAAATGAAGACAGTATTGTTTCCAGTGGGCTGAACACTGGTTCTTAGGGGGTGAAAAAAAAATCTTAGATATTACAAATGGTTTGTGGTCTTTCAAATGGCCACAGTACATACACAGGTAGTAGTGTATCTGTGGTATTAAAAACACATGTGAGCATTAATAAAAAGTCTAAAAATATCTTGGGGGGGCAACAATAGGGGAAAAAAGTTGAGAAACACTGCTTTGTTGCTTTGTAAGTTGTATTTTGGTCCTTAAAAATGCAAAAATGATATTTTAAAAACTAGGTTTTTGAAAACTAGCTATAAAAGGTAGGTTAGAGGTAGGGGGTATCATTTAATCATTTGAGGACTCTGAGCTGTATAAGAATCCTTCACAATTCTTAGAATGATGACATGATACATACCTTAGTAGAGTCAAGAGTCCTCTTGTTATATAGGGACTTGATCAAGTTAATGTTGTGTTGTCTACTCATTTTTCACTAAATCCAGTGAGAAGTAGAGAATAGGTAATGGGCAGGTGGCTAATAAGTTGCTGCTTTTAAATTGGGCTGGCTTTTAAATCTGCTTCATGATTTAGTATGGCCCTCGAGCTAAGAATGATTTTTATATTTTTATATGGTTAAAAAATTCAAGTATTTAATATAGCCAAATATATAGAGACCAAACTTTATTACTCATCAGTGTTGGTGGGTTATAGGAAAGGGCAAAACTCAGTGCCGTCAAGTTGGATCTGACTCATAGTGACCATTCCTTGGGTTTCTGAGGGTGGTATCACTATGGAAGTAGATTGCCCAACCTTCCTTCCGAGGAGTGGCTGGTGGGACTGTTTAATGACCTGTGAAAATTACATGAAATTTAAATTGTGGTGTCTATAAATAAAGTTTTATTGGGAAATAGTAACACTTATCAAGGAACTCTGGTGGCGTAGCGTATAAGGCACTTGATTACTAACTAGTAGGTCAGCGGTTTAAACCCACCAGTTGCTCTGCCAAAGGAGGACTAGGTGGAAAGAAGACTTCTGTTAAGATTTACAGCCTCGGAAACCCATGGGGGGGTTGCTTCAAATCTGAAGTGACCTGATAGCGCGGTGACTTTGGTTTTGGTTTTTAGTTATGCTTCTGTGCTTATTCATTGTCTGTGGCTGCTTTTACACTACAAGGACAGGGTTAAATAGTTGTTACAGAGGCCATATGGCCTATAGAACCTAAAATATTTATAATCTGGCCTTTGATCAAAAATATTTTCTGACCTCAGCTTTAAATATAAAGGAAAATCCAAAAACCAAACCAAACTCGCTGCTGTCGAGTAGGATCCGACTCACAGCGACCCCTCCTTGGGTTTCTAAGGTGATATTGCTACAGAAGTAAATTGCCCAATCTTCCTTCCAAGGAGTGGCTGGTGGATTTGAACCACCAGCCTTCTGGTTAGCAGTCAAATGCCTCAGCTCCCAAAATTCACAAATGTATCATTGGTGATCTTTAGGGGTGAGGGGATAGTTGGATGTCTGCCTAGAGTTCATATAGTTTAGCTTCTTAAACGTTTGAATTATTTTATATGAATAAGGTAAAACCAATAATAATAATAAGGTAGGCAGTTTAAAAGCACAAATAGTCGTTCTTACAGCTGTGTCTTGCATATGCCAAATTGTCTTTTCTCACCCACCTGTGTTTTTACCCATGTAGTAGGGATATCATCCTTTATCGCTTTCCTGGAAAGCCTCCAACTTCTGTCACAGATAATGGCTATGAAGATAAGGTAAGAAGTTGAGTGAATTGTGAATATTTCTTTTTGAAAATAAAAGAAATTGAACGATGCTGCTGGTTTACCAGAATATTGAGAAATAATCATTTTCAAACCTCACAAATGAAAAATTAAGCACAGTCTAAATGTCAAGCTTCTCTGCCAACAGCCTTTTCCTCTCCAGTCAGTCATCCCTAGTGTTGTTAGCTATCCTTCGAAACAGATAATGATGTACACGCCTCTGTAATAAACGGAAACACTCAATCCTTAAGGTTTAAATTTCCTGGCTGGACATTTAGGACTCTGAAGGGTCTCAAACCTTTCCAATTTCTTTGTCTTCCTTAAGTATGTCATGCTTTCTGATAGTTCAGTTTTCATGCTTTATCTTCTGTTCCTTTGTATTGCCAATGTAAATTACGATGGAACATTCCCAACTCTCGCCTGGAGTTATTTCCTCCCTTTGTGCTCTCCTAACAGCTCTCAAGTAATTTTAGTGTTTATCACATTGTATTTGTTTCACATGTCTATTTCTGCCATTAATCTGAGAGTTTCTTTGGGGCAAAGACAGTGTTCTATTAACTGCCTGGTAAGGTGCTTTGAAAGTAGTAGGAGGTGGTTTGTTGGTTGAGAACACTTACCAAATAAACACATTGTTCTTTAGCTTACAGCTTTTCTTCCAGAAAGTATTTAAGAACAATTTTTATCCTGATTATTTCATTAGTGGCTAATTAGTGAATATACAATATTTGAATTTTATAAGTCTTATTTCATTACCACGGAGCAAAACTCGGGCAACCTTTTAATGAAGGTGAGACAAGACTAGGCACTGGAAGAACTGTTAGGATGCAAAAGACCTGAACTAGCAAAATGGCAGCAGGAATGAAGACTAGTATGCGAGAGATACTTAGCAGGTAAGTATAAATTGCAGCACATTACTTGTTTTACCAGTCGTATCACCATCTAATTGGTTCAGGCATTAAGCCCCTATAGTGTGCCAAGCACTGTACTTGATTTCAGGGATACCAAAATGAATATAACAAAATCCTTGCCCTCCAAGGGCTTAGAGGACTGTGGAGACCCTTTGAGAATCTAGAGCTGGCAATACTGAAAAGATAGGCTTTACATTTAGATAGTTTGTAATAAGAACCCTCATTTTGAAACAATTGAACCAATTCCTACTCTAAGTCTTCTTTGTAATCACCTTCACTGGCTGCATGTGCAGCTTTTAAATCATTGACAAGGCCTTTTCTTGCTCTAAAGGCTAAATAAGAACTGGGTGCACTTGTTTTGACGACTTACCTACAAATTGAACTTGAAGACACACTTGGGAATGGATCTCATTTGCAATCCAGGGGAATGCCTATACTTAAATTTCAGTATGAACAAACATGCTGACTTTATAAATTATCAGACCAACCACATATGCATGTATAATCCTGTGCACACAGCCCCCCAATTGCTGATGAGCATTAGTTTTATACGTGTATGAATGAGACTTATACATACTCTTACGGTTCTGTATATTGACAAGGTCTTACCTTGTTGTGTACTTAGGATTCAGAATGAGTGATGCTTTTCATAGCTCAATAAAATCTCTGTATGATGTATAAGACTCATTTAAAAGTAGAACTGCATAACTGTAGGAAAAAGTGGTGGGGATATGTGTGTTCAGTATGTATTTCAACTTTTCTCTGCAAGAAAATTTTCAGAATAAAATGTTGAGGGAGGAAAACAAAACTTGAAGGGTGGCGTAATGCCTAAAGCACTTGACTGCTAACCAGAAAGGTGGTGGTTCAAACAGACCAGCCACTCCTCAGAAGGAAGTTGGGGCAATCTACTTCTCTAGAGATACTGCCTTGGACCCCAAGGAGGGATTGCTATGAGTCAAATCAACTCAACGACAATGAGTTTGGTTTCCTGTTTTTGGGTAAGGATGTAAATGTCAAAATCTCATCTCAGACAATACTGTGCATTATTGCTGAAACGCAAATGCTAACCCTCCTCTTACTCAGAAATTTCTGATAATGTCACATCATTGCATGAGAACTTACAGTGAGTGCTCAAGGGCAAGCATATTGTTAGATGTCATTAATCTGCCTTAAATAATAGAGATTTTAGCACAGGCTTTCAAAGAAATGCCTAATGTTCATCTTGGTTCCTTCCCTTTCTTTGTTGACTTAACTCTGAATGCTTTAAGTTTTATTTTGCTTTAATTGTAAGTATGTACTTCCAGTCTTTTTCCCAAATATTCTAGCTTCTGGTGGCATTCACTTTGATACTACATGATACTGGTCTGATAGAGACTAGTGGAATCCTCAAGACTGTCTGTGGCCCTTAGATACTCTTCAGTACTAGAACTGAAGCCACCCTGGGTATCAACTTTCAGCCAAACAATGGACAGGCCCATAAAGTGAATAATAGCACCAGCAAGGAATGTACTCCTCAATACAATCAACCATAAAGACCTAAAAAGCAGCATTTGCCCAGAAACATAGCTCAGAAGGCAGGAAATGTGTATAAATATTTTGTGTCATCAGCTGCAATCCCCTCAGTGTAACAACTCTTCCCACTTCCTCCCTGGGTTCCTTTGTTTCCATTGAGCCTTCTTTCCAGGTGGCAGCAGGGTTGCTTTTGTTGTGTGACATCTTTGTTTAACCTCAAACTTCGTTCCTGTATGTTGAAGCTCCTAAGATTCGTATTTAAATTGTTCATACTTTTAAAAATAGAGTAAAAGGTAAAGTCACCATTCATTCTTGTTACTCTCTTGCCCTTCCCCAAGGTAAAAGCTATTAAAGTTTGGGTAGGTATATATTCTATATCATTTTCTTTGTATGTTGTACTGTAGATAGACTCATTTAATATCCTGTTACTTGTTCTTTATAAGTATCTGTGCTCATCAATAACATAGATATACCCCATTTTTTCATTAGTTTATTACCATTATATCTTACCTACCTACTCCCAACAAACACAGCACCTACGAGTATATATTACAGAATAATTATTTTATTATTGGGATACCACCAAGAACATAAAAACCATTATACATAGTTTTGCCTTTTCCAATCAAAACTAAACTTCTTACCACTTGAATAGGAAATAGTACATTCTGTTGGCTGGGTTCCTTTATGCCTTAATAACTGCTTCCAGTTATTAACTTTTCTAAGTTGGAGTTCCCAGTCCCCATAGCCCACATTCAGAGTTTCTTTTATTATTATTTTGGGATAATAAATTTCTCTTCAATGCAAATATCCCCTGTAGTAGATGAAGCTTATTCATAATAGAAATTTTACTGTGAGTTTAGTTTAGTTTGACACTTGCCTTCAATACTTGAAATAGATTATACTGATGTAGTTGAAATTGGGATTTTGAAAAAAGGGAGGAATGATAGACCTGGGCTTAGAGAATTTGATTATTGGGAGAAGTTAGTCAAGGAAAGTAGAAGAAAAAGTGCTTAACATAATTTTCTGCCAAAGAATCCTGATTGTAACATCCTCCCATAGACCACAGAGAATTATCTTTGGTACCTCAACTTGCTGATAATTAAAGATGCTTTCTGAACGAAATGACCATAAAGCAGGGATTTTGGTTAATTGTTGTTCATGGTAATTACCTTTTATAAAGTCACTTCTAACACTGAATTAGTAACTACTGAATAATTTTTCCTAGGGGAAATACAGAGTTTCCTACAAGCCTCTGTTCACATTTTCCTCAACTGATCAATACATAACCCTGTAATGTGTTGTATTTTTAAGACGACACCTTATTTATTATACATTGCCAACATTGAACTCACTTTCAACAGCACTGTAACTCATGCCTGAACAAAGTTTATCTTATCTAACACGTGTATTTTCTCCATAAGGCACATCACAGTTTTCTTGCAATTAGGAACACTCTAGACTTCAACACTATGCTTTGGGTGCCATTTTAAACAGTGAAATTGCCAGCAAAAGCACAAATATGAGAAAAAAAATAGACTAAGAAGGACATTTGTTTACAGTGGACGAGAAAGCAAAACATTACATTGTTTGACCTCAGCTGGGGATGTGTGCATTGAGTGATTCAAATATTTTACAGCTGTGCAATGAGTGGCTCTTGAAGTCCTGCGAGTATGGATTTGGGGCTTACAAGTAAATTTTTAGTAGGTGAATTTGCAGATATGGAATCTATAGTAATGAGGATTGAATGTGTATCCCTTGAACAAGAGAGAAGTTTTTGAACAAAAGTTCAAAAATATTTTTGAGTCATCTTATAAACAAATCTCATCATGTGGAACCAGGGAGAGTTGTTACTCAAAAAATTTGGTTACTGACCAAATTGGTGTTTTGAAGAAAGTAAGGGTTGAAGAACTCAGCTAAGAAGCTAACCTCTAAATTTTGTAGCTATTTTGATGCCTTAATTCATCTAAGAAGTCTTATAGCAATATTGATCCAGTATAACATATTGATTATTGCTATTCAGTAAAATTGATAACCTTTTGAATAAATTGAAGTCTTCTGCTAACCAGAAGGCTGGTGATTCAAACCCACCAGCCACTCCTTGGAAGGAAGATGGGGCAATCTACTTCTGTAGTGATACTATCTCGGCAACCCAAGGAGGGGGTTGCTATGAGTCGGGTCCGACTCGATGGCACATAACAACAACCATCCCACTCCCACCATCGCCTTTCAGAGTCTATTTGGATATTTGCCCTAATTTCTCTAGTCATTTCTTTAACTAGAGTCTTTTGACTTTGGTTAGGTTTTGTTACATTTACTCTTGATTTGTAATTCAAGACTTAACAGGAATGGCGTTTTAATCTTGACGTTTAAAACCTACTGTGAAGAAAACCTTTGTATTTACCTATATTTAGATTTTAAAAATCACTTTTTAGAAAATAATAAAATTCATTTAGTTTATCAATTCTGTTCAGCAAGGTAATTTCAAGTGATTCCACGGATTTAAGATGCATAACATTCACTTGATTTTTCTGCATGTTTTCTTTTTCTTCAGATTCTACTCTGCTATTCAAATAATGGTCATTATGATTCCGTGTACTCAAAACAGTTTCAGTCAAGTGCCGCTGTTTGTCAGGGTATGTGAAGGTTTTATAAATGTTCACATGTGATTTCAAGGGATTTGTTTCCAGTCTTTAAATCAAAGGAACCACTATAAATAGTTCTTTTAAAACCTTGTTGTTACCTACTGAACTTATGTACTGGGTTATGACTATTTTCAAATTGTTATAAAGAAAATATTGGCTTTTTTCTTTAGCTATATTGTATGAAATGCTGTATAAAGATGTGTTTTTTGTGGATGAAGAAGAGTTGAAAACTGCAGTTGAATTGTTTCGAAGTGGTCCCAAGAAGAACAGAAATAATGCTCTGACGGGAAGTGAGGATGCCCGTGTTGAATATAAGAGTTCGACTCGGGATAGGTAATAAAGGGGAAGGGGATATCAACTGTGTAATAAACATATTCCATGTTTCTGTGTGTCACCATTTGATAGAGGAAGACATTTGGCAAGTTTATGATTTACTTTACCCAGACACACACGTGTATTTTACATACATAAATTTTTTTCAATGGGAAAAGAAGTTTTAACAAAGATTTTTTTTTCCTGGATTTTTATTTATTTTTAGTATTTTTTTTCTGGGGGGGGGGGCAATGTTCCCTTCCCTCGCCTCCCACCCTGGGTACCCAACAAAGTTTCCTTCCATATATAAACTTTTCCTTTACTTTTTACAATAATGAACTAATACAATATTTGTCCTTCTGTGATTGAATTATTTAATTCAGCATAATGTCCTCCAAGTTCCTCTACGTTATGCAGTGTTTTCTAGAGTTGACATTATTCTTCAGTGTTGCATAATACAAAAGATGTTTTATTTTAAGAGGCTCAGGCTTTGGAAGTTACGTTCAAATCAGAATTGCTTTTTTTTTTTTTTTTTTTAACTGCTAGCACAGGGCTTAGAACCTTCTAATCCAGTGATTCTCAAACTTCTAGTTGTATGTGAATTACTCAGGGAGCGTGTTAGAAAGACAGGTTCCTGGGCCCACTTTCACAGAATTTGAGGTCAGAGTGGGGCCAGGAATCTGCCTCTTTAAAAAGTACATGCAAGTATTCTTGAGGTAGGTAGTCAGTAGACCTCACTTTGAGGAAAAAAACTGATTCTAAACTAGCACCATTATTTTGTACATGGTAACTGAGGTTCACAATGGTGACTTGACAAACATACCCTGTTAGAAGGAAAGAATCTCTCAGGCAAAGGGAAGTGTTAGGAGCTTTTGAGTGTCGTCTTTTGGTATACACAGGGAATAGAGATTGTGCATCTCCACAGATGCAGTGATTATTGAGCATATCTCATAAAAAAACTTTTAGTTATAAGGTGGGTACTGTCTTTTATTTCTTCTTAATATCTACTCTCCCCCCCCCGAACTTTTTGATAGCTTTTGTGCCCCTCAAGTGTTACCTTGTGTTTTTGTTTTACAATTTTTTTTTTTTTTTTACTATAATGCATGTAACTTCTTTTTTGTAGAAGTGTTTTTTTTTGGGGGGGGGAATGCAAGGGTTGGCAACTAGGTGTCAGGATAAAAATTACTCTTCACTGATTTCTTGTGTTAAGAACTTCAGCCTAATGGAAACTGTAATAGTAGGAAGGCAAGGCATATCAGTTATCTAGTGCTATGTAACAATATTACCACAAACTTAGTGGCTTAAAACAACACATGCATTATTACACAGTTTCTTAGGACTTTGAGCATAGACTTTGTTGGTTCTCACCTGGAGGTTTCGGAAAGATATACTTCCCTGTTCACATGGTTCTTGGCAGCATTCAATTTTTTTTGCCGCTGCAGGACTGAGAGATTCAGTTTTTTGTTGACAGTTGGCCAGAGGCCTCCCTCAAGTCCAGGAGGCCATTTGCTGTCCCTTGCCATATGAGGTTTATAAATGTTGGCCGCTTGCTTCCTCATAGTCGGAAGAGAAAGACCAGGAAGATGGGTACTAAATTCTTATGTAATGTAATCATGTGTATCCTGTTCCTTTTGCCATACTTACTCTGTTGGTTAGAATCAGTCTCAAAGAGTGGATCACAAGGGTATTAATACCAGGATGTAGGTATCATAGGGACTGATCATCTGAAGAGTCTGACTCCACAGGAGTTATGAAATGTGGGAGGTAATGTGCTAAGTATATTGTAGCACATACTTATAAAAAGGAAGCATAAATCAAAATACTGGGATGAAAAAGTATTTGCCTCACTTTTGGACCAGAGCTACTTTACCACTAGACCAAACCAAGCCCCCTGCCACAGAATCCATTGTCAGTCATAGTGACCCTGTAGGACAGAGTAGAACTGCCCCATAGGGTTTCCAAGGCTGTAAATCTTCACCATAGCAGTGGCTGGTGGGTTTCAACTGCCTAACCTTTCTGATAGTATAGTGCCTAAGACACTTGACTGCTAACCAGAAGGCTGGCAGTTCAAACCCACCAGCCACTCCTTGGAAGGCTGGGCAGTCTACTTCCGTAGTGATACTGCCTTGGCAACCCAAGGAGGGGTCCCTATGAGTCAGGGCAGACTCATTGGCACACAACAACATCTTTTATATTATCCTCATAATTCTGTGAGGTGGGCACCCTTTTATAAAAGCAGTGTCATCTCCACAAAGCTTTCCTAACCCTCCAGTCATTTGGTTCTAATCACAATGTGCCTGGTTAACTAGTTAGTCTCCCCCCCCCCCATCCAACCTCAACCATCTCCAGTTTGTCTAGATCAGGAGAACTTCAAAGGCAAGGAACAGAATCTTAATTATATGCTAGCATTACACATGACACAGAGTAGGTGTTTAAGGTTGACTAAATGAAAGAATTTGTAGAATGTCATTCAGCATGTTGAGAGATGTGCATGGGACTACAATACAGGCTTTCTGACTCAGATCTCTTCCCAGGACTTCACACCAGTGGCATCACTAGGGTTGGTGTTACTCTGTGTGGTAACTCATGGTATCATCCCCCCCAAGGAGGGGTTGCTATGAGTGGGGCCGACTCAATGGCACATAACAACTACTTTTGGTTAGCAGCCGGATGGTTTAATTACTGCATTTGTATAAAGCTATTTTGCTCTAATTCTTTTCAATTAGGGCTGAAGAGAAAGGTGCCTGCTGCAATGCTGAAAATATACCAGAAGGGTCCAATCAAGGAACAGCAGAAGCAAAGGTTTGAGATTTTTTTTTCTTTTTTCTTTTCTTTTTTTTATTATTGTGATTTGGGTGAAGATTTACAGAGCAAATTCACTTTCCATACAACGGTTTACATATACTTTGTCTCATGACATTGACCACAGTTTACTACAATGCAACAGCTCCCATCCCACTTCCTCCTCATAGTTACCTCTTCCCAGTGGCCATCCCTCCATGGACTCCTGCCCCCTAAGCTGTCTCCCTGTGAGAAGCCCTTCTTTCTCAATGATTGTTCTCTCCAAGGAGTGTATCTACCTCAGGTAAATGTTCAACTCATATGCCTGTCTTCTGTCTGGCTGGAAACCACAGGTGTGGGTTCAATTTCCAGACCTGAAGGGCAGCTAGGGGCCATAGTCGCAGTGGTTCCACCAGGCTCTATTGGAGCTTTTTTATTTAAAAGATGGATTTTCATATTCTTGAATTGCGTCTATAACTTTAACTAGTTAAGGTTAGATGGTCCATTCTAATTATGTGTGGGGGGCATTATCCATGTTTTCCTTCGTGGCATGTGAACTTGTCTGAAAACGGAAAATTTGTGCTTAATCTTCTCCTTATTCTTTCTTAAATTTTCTGTCTTTCAAAATAAACTTTAAATAATTGAAAAATTTCACAAACTTTTTGAGTTAAAAGTAATACTGTAGCCTCAGTATTTAATTTGGAAACAGTCTTCTGAATCTAAGATTTCTAACTTAAGCTGATATTTTACCCATAATATAATACTTATCCCTATTCTGCTTAAACAAAATGGGCGACAATCCTAGTCTATTAAAGTTGGAGAAACCAGGGAAATTATACTATCTGTATAGACCTAAAAGCAGGTAGACCAATATTGAGACTTGAAGTTTGAGGCTGGAGCAGTGGTGGCAAAATGCTAAAGCACTTCACTGACACTTAAGAGTTACGCAGTTCGAACCCACCAGTGGCTCTGTGGGAGAAAAGACCTGCCAGTCTGCTCCTGTAAAGATTACAGCCTAGGATGCCCTATGGGGTAGTTATATTCTGTCATACAAGATCAATCTGAGTTGGAATCTATTAGATGTTACAAAAACAACAGAAGTTTGAGGCTAGCTAATTAGGGTAAATACGCAATCTCTGTAATAAAATGGAACTCTGGTGGTGGTGTGCCTAAGCCTGACTGCTAACCAGAAGGTTGGCGGTTCAAACCCACCAGCAACTCCGTGGAAGGACGACTGGGCAATCTATTTCCATAAAGATTTACTGCCTCGGAAACCCAAAGGGAGTCACTGTGAGTCACGATCAACCTGGTGGCAGTGAGGTTTTTTTTTTTTTTTTGGGGGGGGGGGGTGGTGTAACAAAATGCCCTAAGTGTTGGTAATTTTGGAACAGTATTTTATATGGTGAAGTTTTAGGAGCCCAGAAGAAAAATGATAGTTCCTTAAGGAAGCTGTAACAGAATTTGACCAAACTGAAGTAAACTTTTCAGATTTTGCCAGGGAATTTTACGACATGGGAGCCCTGACTGAATTTTTACTCCTGGTTTATGTTCTATTAATATATGTGTTCTTAGTCACTGGCTGTTCTAGACAATATTTCTTTTCTGCCACCTAAAACCTTTTGGATTATTTACATTTTCCTTCTTCAGTATCCTTATTTTTAAGATACGTAGTATAATTTTTTGTGACACTCATTTCTTGTGTTAAGGAAAGGGAGGTATATGTACATAGTTTTTAAATTTTATTATTATTATTTTTAAATTGGTGAGGTTTTAGCATGATTATTTCTGTTTTAGTCTTCAGAAACTCCATCAAAGATGCTTTTTCCTTATAAGGTGCTCAAAGCCCTGGACCCAGAAATCTATCGTAATGTAGAATTTGATGTTTGGTTGGACAGCAGAAAAGGTAATGAAATATCAAAAGGATGCTTTCCAATCCTGACAGACCCAGGAGAATAATTTTGCAAATTGTTTCTTCTTACAAGAGCCGATTTCAATGTACTATTATAAAGAACAGCTTGTTACTTTTCATCTTACTCCAGGCATGCTTTAAATTCAGAGGAGGAAAATAAATAGGTTTTTAAGTGGGGAGGGATCTTTAGAGTCTGATGTTTATCTGGGACTTGAGCTTTGCAAAAATTGTATACAAATAGCTGTCAGAAAACCTTAAGAATAACAGAAACTTTCAGTAACTTTTCTTATCTTAAACTTTAAAGTGTTAAGATTGCCCTCATCGATTAAATGAATAGATCAAATACTAGCAAAATACGGCCTGAGGGTCAAGTCTATCCCATTTTCTGTTTCAGAATGATTTTAGCATTTTTAAGTGGCTAGAAAAATACTAGAATAGTATATCGTGACACCTACCAATTATGTGAAACTCAAATTTCAATGTCCATATATAAAGCTTTGTTGGAACATAGCCATCCTCACTTATTTACATATTGTAGACATGACAGATTGTCTATGGCCTACAAAGCCTCGAAAATATTTACTATCTCACTCTTTACAGAAAAAGTTTGCTGACCCCTGAAATAGATAATTGCTTCTCTCTCCTTATTAGATAACTAAGTTGGTCAAAGTAGGCTTTAAAGTACTGCCTTCAAGGTAGCCTTAATATTTCATATTCAGCTCCTTCAGCAATGTAGGTTAATCAGGGTATAGTTAGTAATCTAGAGTAAGGGTTAAGACCTCGTGTACAAGATTAATGTTTTTAAAATAATAGGTTGCTTAGGAGCTCTGGTGGCGTAGTGCCTAAGGCATTTAACTGCTAACCAGAAGGCTGGCAGTTGAAACTCACCAGCCACTCCTCGGAAGGAAGACTGGGCAATCTACTTTCCTAGTGATACCACCTCAGAAACCCAAGGAGGGGTCGCTATGAGTTGGAACCGGCTTGATGGCAGTGAGTTTGGTTTTTTCGGTTGAAAAATCTTCATAGTGTTGCTTTCAAATTGTACCTTACTGATGTTTGACCGGTGGAGCCCTAGTGCCACAGTGGTTAAGTACTCAGCTGCTAACTGAATGGTTGTCCTTTCAAACCTGCCCGCCACTCTGCAGGAGAAAGTTGTAGCATTCGGCTTCTGTAATATTCAAAGCCTTGGAAACCTTATGGAGTAGTTCTGCTCTCTCCTGTGGAGTTGGTGTTAGTCAGAATAGATTTGATGGCAGTGCATTTGTTTTGGTTTGGATGTTTGACCACTTCGAAGGCTTCAACCTCATAATTCCTACCTATTTGTGTTTTGAAGCACAGAACTGTTCTGGCAGATACCCTGAAGTTGACTGGAGAAATAACCCATTGAGAATTACAGAATGGCTCTTTGTGACTCCTTCCCATATTTTAGCATATAGTGGTAGTATTGTCAAAGACACTGTAGTAAAAGTAAATTAGGGAGTTAAATGATGTAAAATAAGAAATGAAGCAATTTAGTTGAACTTGAACCTTAATATCTTTTTAATAGAACTTCAAAAATCTGATTACATGGAGTATGCTGGAAGACAGTACTATTTGGGAGACAAGTGTCAGGTTAGTTTCTTCTTTAAAGAATTAGTAATTTGTTTTTCCAAAATTATGGTTTTAGTCATTAATACGAGTTCAGCAATAATATAAACTGCTGAAAAAAAGATTTTTTTTGAAAAATATTTGTGTTAAATTTTAATTTCAAAGTTTTATGGTTATATTTAAGGCAAGCAGTTTCAATATGTGCTGCTGCCTCCCTTGAACTAGGTTGGTTGGCAGTGTTGATATCAACTACTTTAAAAAGAAGATACTGATCTTCATTTGGGAAAAGTGGTATTTTTGTTGGGCCAAAGCCAGATCTACCAGAAGATTTGAGATTTGAGATGTATTCATTCTTACTGCCTTTTTTCTGCTTTCAGGTACGCTTGGAATCTGGTGGTGGAAGATATTATAATGCTCACATTCAGGAAGTTGGAAATGATAACTCATTAACAGTCTTCATTGAAGAACTGGCAGAAAAGTAAGAATATAAATTTGTTGAATTACTGTAACTTTGGCTCTTGCTGCCTTTTTGTAATACCAAATTGAGAATAACCAGGCTGTAGTAAGAAGACCTAGAGGTATATCTGGTACTGGCCTAAATTATAAGTTATCTTTTCTTGAATTATATATGCATATGCTGAAATGTCAAATCTCACTATTGTTAACTATGTATGAAGTTTTAAAATCCTAGGAACTAGCTAATGTATTAGGACTATTAAATCAAGTAAAACAAAAACTTGCTACAAAACTTTTCAGTTTAATTGGAAAACTGGTTTGCTGAGCTTCTACTATTGATTATCAGGATAAATTAGTCCACTGGTTTGTTTAAACATAGGTTGATGAGCCCTATTCCTGTAGTTTCTGATTTACTAAGTCTAGGATGGGGCCCAAGAATTTACATTTCTAGGGTCCAAGTGAAGCTGCTGCTGGTCCACTTTGAGAACTATTAAACTATGCTGTTGTTGCAAATAATCTCAAAATATCAGACACTTGACACAATAAAGTTCATTTATCAAGTACATTCATAGTAAGTCAGCAAAGGGGGAATCGGGCTGACAGAGGTTCTACCTTGGCACATGCTTCTGTGATCAGAAGGAGGGGAAGATACTAGAACATGGCAGACCACATGCTGCTGCTTCAAGCATGTGTTTACCTTTTATTGACCGAAGTGGCTTATATAGCCAAGCCTGATGCCAGTGGGGTTAGGAAATAAATATTCTTCCAATAAAGGACAGCAAATATTTGTGCAATAATACATTCTATCACAGTGTTTCCTATGGAGTGTGAGATGTGCTACAAACAGCTGTGAAAGTAAACTACTCCCTACAAACTATACAAAAACCTGGGGTTTTCTAGCCTAAAAAGGAAAAACAAGGAAGCTAGTGTCAACAGATTTAAATAAACTTAAATGAAGCAAGGAGATTGGGGGCATATGTATCACATGAGAATTAAGTCTGTGTTGCAATGACTTCATGTTAGTACCTTTATCATTAAGGCATGTTGTTCTACTGGCTAACGTAAGACCCATTACTCAAGTGACACCTGTTCCAGCCTGGAACATTTTGCATGGTGGGAAAGGAAGAAACTACCAAAAATCGCCTAGGGGCTATGTCCCAGAAATAGGTATGTATGTTGAGGGTTTTTATAATTTTACTTTTCCCTTCTTGTAGTCCCTTTCATTTATGCATTGTACCTTTTTTTTTTAAAAGTATAAGTCTTGTTCTGTGGTAGGGTTTCTCAGTTTTAGCACTATTAACATTTTGATCTGGATAATTCTTTGTGAAGGAGCTGTCCTGCATGGGCAATGATAATATAATGAAATTCTTAAGTGAATTTATCATTAGTTTTGTATTCTTTACTCACTAGATGTCAGTAGCATTACCCACACACCCCAGTTCTGACAATCAAAAAGGTCTCCAGACATCGCCGAATGTTCCTAGGAGTGGGGGTTGGGAATCATCCCTGGGTGGGAATCACTTTTCTAGGGGACTTTGTGTAAACTTAACCTGGAGTGGGTTTTAGATTAAAACTTGAGGGAGGGAAAGAAATATATATATATATAGTAGCATAGGTGACTAGATGACTCTCAATGCTTTGAAGGAGCTCTGGTAGTGTAGTGCCTAAGGCACTTGACTGCTAACCAGAAGGCTGGCGGTTCAAACCCCCCAGCCACTCCTCGG